TGGTAAAAACTGGGAACTTGAAACTTTTCAGTTCCTCATGAGTTCTAAACACATTTTTCTAAAAAACTTCAATGCAAAAATGATGTAGAACTTGCAGTTCTTTTAACAATGATTTGAACTATGCTGTGTGTTTCTGCGATTAGAAGATATGGTACAGCTGGGGGACATTGTATTAGCTGTCTAAGGAGCATTGCCTTTCGTTGTTTCAGTATTAGGTTCCTTGCATTCGCTAATGGAATGGATATGCCAGGTGATAGGCAAACTAAAATTTAGTTTAAGCTAGAATTCACTTCTCAAGTGTCTAAAACGGGCGACTCCTTATTACGTAATGGCAGCCAAAACGAAAAAATCGTATTATAGGCTGGTTATGATCTGTCCTTTGTATTTGGCATGATACATTTGCCGCACGTCTATCTTTGGTTAAAATGGAGGGACTTAATCTCTTTGGAACAGTGAGTGTTAAATTTGAACTGCGGTTTGGTAGATGGTCGAACCTACTATTAGGCGTTTATTTTTCATGATAAGAATGAAGGTGCCGATGGACTCCTTCGGTAATCAGCGTGAAACTCCAAAGAAAGCTCGAAAGTTTGGTTGTTTCGGAACAGAGTGGTATGCATTTGCATCACTTACTAATAATTATAAAAGATGTACTTCTCATGCTTTATTTCCAGAAATTTGCCTTGTTGGGTTGCTCACCTAGCTGGGCTTAGCCGTTTTTCAAGGTATCATGTTCTGAGAACACTTCTTGAAATTTTTCACTGCAGGACTTGTTCAGGTTTAGCATTTTTGCGCAGTCCAACTATCCGACCCAAGCGTTACATCAACAAGTCTTTCATAAGTGTGGTGTGGCAGTATGGCTGGAAGGACAAGAGTGTATTACCGACTGCAGTGGATATATGACCTCCCTGCTCGAAGTAAATGTCCTTCTGCACGAGTGGCTTCAGCAATCCTGCGGTACCGACTTTTGATAGAGTAGCTGGTCGCAGTAAGGTAAAATCACCATACTATTGCGGTGTGGAGTGAACTACTTTATTTTTTGGGTGAATGGTGCATAGTGTGTCCTCACTATGGACCTTGAAAAAAATCAGTCTACCAAAACTGGTACATCTGCAGGCCAAAACACCATGGGCCAACATTAGTATGGCAGCCACTTGTTGGAGAGCAACGTCATTTTGAATACAAACAACATTGGCTCCGCTAAGGCAAGAAGCTAACAGTCACGCAAAAATGGATTAGAATGATACTAGGTATTTTCTACGCTGACCACAAAAGTGGCCTAGCTATCATAGATAACTTCGGAAGTAACTAGTGCCGTTTATCTACTTTTCCATCACGTTAAACAATTTTTTTCAGGTAACATAAAGATTTTTTGCGGTCAACTACTGCAGATTCTTCTGGAACACACCGTGTCTATCGTGAAAAAAGACAAACAAACTTTCCACCGGAAGTTTTTACTCAAAAAAATTCGTCGGTCAATTTTCTATCGTGAAAAAAGACAAACAAACTTTCCACCGGAAGTTTTTACTCAAAAAAAATTACGTCGGTCAATTTTGATTGATGCTAAACGTTTTCCTTCCTAAAAACATACTGGATGCACTTAAATACTGAATGACAAAAGAATCCAAGTGTGCCCGTTCTAACATAGAGGTCAATACTTCAGCTATTTATTTGTTCAGTAGTCCAGACAGTTTTTTTTGTAGAGCCCACGCTGGTCATAGATGCGCACACAAACCAATGCTACACAACGATTTAGTCCCTGCAACTGACATTTTTGTCTGTGGTCGGGCTTCAGGTGACCAAAACACAGAGAAGATGAAAACCATAAATCATATCGGGATCTTTTGAACGGTTACTGAATAGTATGTCACAGTTCCGTGTCCTTGCATGCGCGCACATGAATGAAACACCCTTGTGTTAATTGCGTTTGACTACAAATGTAACGATTTCGTATAGTCAGACAGCAGCTGTTACACGTGGCGATGGTCAACTTCGTGCGTAAGATGCGCATTTGCGGCAGGTGCACGTTTATTTTCCTTCAGTATCACTTCTTATATCAAACTCTCTGGTTAATGGTGATCACTTATTTGGTTGATGGTCAGAATGCCTATGTACATTTCGGCGAATAAAGCAGGTTGCAATTATCTAATCATTCAGCAACGGAGGAGCGAAACGTACGGAATTATGTTAGTCACGGAGAGACATATTGCCGGTCACAAAAAACATCACAGATTTTCCAAAAGATTCAGTTTATACTCAGAATTTACAAGTGGTATAACCCGGCTAGAGAAAACAGAAACTAGTAAACCAAAATACCAGTAGTTTTTTGAGGAAGGTTGCATCTTTAGCGGGGACTCTGCCTATTGGATTATTTTTTGACTTTTTATTGTGGTCCAGTAACGAACTCATCTTAGTGTGAATTTGCGGAAGACCGCCTAATTCTGACAAAGACAACGATCAAGTTTCCACGGATAATAGGTCTCTTTCAAACAGAATTCTGGATTGATGCATCAGAATTTCATATATTCCAACACTAGTCAAGTATGCGGCCGACTGAATAAAATTCGTCGGTGATGTTGCTCAAATTCTCACACAATGAAATGTTCAATTTCATCACGTTGATAATGAAAATAACATACATATAATTTTTCTTTGTAGAGTGCTTACAAAAAGGCAAAGCCGTCCGTATCCTGATCACGTAGCTATTTTGCCATATTCCGGCATTCTACGGTGGCGACTTATTCAAAGTCCGAAGTGGACGCCTAGGTAATCGTTCCGGTTATTCCCTTCCATTTAGCTTCGACGAAAACGTGGAAAACAAATTCACAATCTAGTTTTACTTGTCCGCTATTTCCAAAGACTGATTAAATTGAATTTGATGCATCGTTGAAGAGCGGAATTACCGCACTGTGATGGGTCTAATAGATCAAATACTGCAAATCTCAAATTAGTAGTTATCCGTGGAACCAGACAAAATTGAAAGTGAAATATGATCCATAACGTATCAGGGGCCACAGCGGTCACGTTTACATTGGTAGCTTGTGTGAAGACGCAAAATTCGCGTGGCCCATTCGATCTAGCAGTATCACAAATGGGAAGAATGTAGCGCCGGCTAATGACGTCATTCCGGCTTACGCAACAAACACACTAAGAACACATTAGAGGTTTGGCCTTCGTATAGTTTGTCCGTCAACTAATTTGGCTATTTGTTTCTTTTGGCAGACTTTCCTTCCCTTCGCTCCCCAGCAGTGTACTGAAACATTATCCTGTGTGGTGTTTCACATGCTCTCTCATGTGGAAATGGGACACTGTCGGTCACAAGCACGTAAAACCCATTGATTTTGTCTATATTACGTCTGATGTTGTCCCAAAACGTAAAAATTGTTGGAACGCCTTTTGGTTTTCTAGTAGTGCGTAGTAAACTGCACGATTCTCGACGTCAATATCACTGTGACACAAGACTACTGGCCACTACTTGGTAAGTCGCATAAACTATAGTACGTTTGAGTGGTCGATTGAAGGCAGGATTCCACCTCCATTTGTACCTAGTTTCGTAAGTAACAAAGAAAGTTCAATCTTTTGCGAGGTTGATCTTAAGTGAATTCTACCATTCTCGTAGTAACCGTCCACGACACGCCCACGGCACACAGTTATGGTGGATTTTAGGTACAGTGGAACACTATATTCTTAACCATCTTAATCCTGCTTAATTGGCCTGATCGTAGCTAAAGAACAGCAGTTAATTCAGGTTATTCATTGCTATCTAGCATGCAGAAAAACTCCGGGAAGGAAGCCTTTTCTACAGTTTGATGAAAATTCTGGAGGATATCCGTTATGTTGCTAAATGCGGTACAAGAATTTATGGACTAATTTGGTGGTAAAACTTAGATGTCTTCTCAACTCAACAAATTTTGGTGAGACATGTTCTTCCGAAAAATGGTATGTATCAAAATAACTCATCACTCAACATCATCATTGTCGGAAGTAGGATGTGCGTACAGTTATAGCTGCCGTATTTTCTTTCACCAAAAATTTGGAGAGGGTCAGGGTTCCCGATCCAGGTGGTCGACAGTGATCAGCGCAGATGCGTTTGCAGGTAATGGCTTTCGTACTTCGCTGCTCATTCATTGTTTGAGGTCGCCCAGCTCGTTTTCACCAGTTGCATGGTTTTGCAAAAAGAATCCTTCGGGCGTGATCAGTTCATTTATTGTGGATGGTAGAACACTGAACGTCTTTCGACGACCTCAGCAGACATCGTCCAGTTTTCTTATTCGTATGATAATATGGGGCGCACCGCAGCAATAAAATCTCCATCCTTGACGTATAAAATAATGTTATGTCTACGCCACAGGTGATGGAGGTTCAAAAAAACTTCTCTGGCCTTTCAAATCCCGGTGGAAACATAATCTTTCGTGGGGACATCGGGACTGTTACAGCTGCCCACGTATACAAAATTGTCTACTCTCCCAATATGCTCGTCCGCACGCGTAAGATCAGGATTCAAGCCCACCTAATCTTGCGGTAGCAATTTACGCTTTGCAGGAGTAAAGCTCATGCCAAACCACGAGATAGAATTATTTAGTTTATTTGATGCTGTCTACATTACGACAGCGTCAGATTCAAGAAGACCTATTCCAACTGTGTGCTCGATATCTGTAAGCGGAAGCCCCGGGAGCAGTTTTTCCTCGCAGCATTAGAGACTGATAAGAAGCTTTTCATGGTTGTATCAACGACGAAGTTGAAGAGGAAAAATGAAAAAGAGGACAGACATATGTGATAACGTTTGAGGTGGTGAACTCAAGCGAGAGCTTTTCGTGGTCCTTTACGCGTCCGAGGGAGCTGGCGTACAGCACCTTAAGAAGGGTCAAGAATTTATGGGGGCACCTTTGCTCCACAGACACTGCTGTAGTGCCTGGTGGTCCACAGATTAAAATGTAGCTCTTGGCCCAGAAAACACAGCCGTTGTTGGTTGCTGGAAGCATCGTCGCTCTTCCGAACCTTACCGGAGAGTGAAGATATGATAGATGCATCCTCGTGCAGGACGGAAATCAGACCAGAAAGAACCTTTGATGCCTTAGCTAATGGGCTGATGCCATAGTGGTTTACACACAGCATCCGCCTACCCTCTTTGAAGATGGGAATACCTGTGGGCATGGTCAATTCTTCTTTCCAAATAAGCTTTGTTGGGTGTTCCACTAAGGATCCTCCGTATTCTTTGAAAAGGGCTGGATAAAGACCGTTTAGATTTAATACCTTCTCCCGTTTTAGTGAAGACATTTAGCATCCTATTTCTTCCGGCGGCGATCAACTTTTATATTCCATTCGCCCGTATGCCTAATCTCCAGCTTTTGTAGGGTCAACCGAGCGTATCAGTTGATATAGGGCACGGCTGTTTCCAGTAGCAAAAGCCTTATCCATCTCCATATTTTTCGATGTGCACCATAGCACTCGGAGTTTCCTTAGGCTCTTCACCACTGGCTTTAAAGGGATTTGTGTGCGCCATCGTATTCGTTGCTTGATGGTACGGATTTCCAGGCATCAGACATGCATGGTGACCTCGAGGACATCCAGTGGACTCGTGGTTGAATTGGGGAAGTCAGAAAAGCAGCATTAAGCGCTGCTAGCATAACTCCTATCACATTTTGCCATGCTTCACCCACATGCTCACTGCCACAGTATTGGTTTACTGCGGAGAGTTGTTGGGCTAGCTCAGATCGATTATTTTGTGCTATGGTAGTTCCTCGAAGATGGCATGCTTCTTGGGGACTTGAGAAGACCTGTGGGAAACCAACAAGTATACATGCTTGCACCATGCCATGATCGGAATCAACTTGTGTGCCGAAAAACAAACGGTAGTGTTGAGTTGTAGCTCTTCACCGGTGGCTGATGGCCACGTGATCCAACTGGACCCACATTTGTTTTGCAGTGTTGGCCGCCAGGTTACGTGATGCTAACGTCTACTGTGAAAGTTTGCTCTGACCAGAAACAGTTCATGCAACCAGAAGAAAAGCTGCCGATTGTCTTTGCATTAACCCCGAATCAATCGCCTAGTGGCGATTCGAAGGAGCAGAGTCGACCGAGTTTGATATTTATATTATCCAGAAGTATTATATTGGCAGTGCTTCTTGCCTGACGAATGAGCCTGGATAGCTATCAATAGAAAGTATCCTTCTCAACATCAAAACTGCAGTCCATCGGGGCGTAGACCGATGGCGCCTGCTTTTTATGTCGAGAGGCATTGAGTTTGGTCGAACTGGATAACTAGGTAGAGCAAAGACGACTGTTCACTGCGATTCCATCCAGCGAAGCGCATTCAGGTCTGTCTGAGTGCAACTCCCGTGAGTAATCACCTCTGGGTCACGGGACACGCGGGGTAGAAGTTTGAAAAGAGTGATTTAGTCGCTGACGTTTTGAGACGCATAACCAATTTCCGATGCTGTGCGCATGTTTCGGAGATACAACATACACCAATTTTAAGGGAGTATAAGATTTCAGGGGCATTGTTTGTTTGCCTATTCGATATAGAGTACAGGCGTTAAAAGATTCTATGAAGAAAGAATCTCGTGGATTTAGAAGGGTGTTAGTTTTTCTATTGTTAATAGGCAGTGGGGTGCATAAGGTCCATTGGTCAGAAAACTGACAGTCAAATGACCAAGCAAAGTTTGCTTGTTCTTTAGGCAGGAGTTTTGGAGGGCCATCGGTAGACATAGAACTGTGCGAGAAAATGTTACTGCCCAGTTGCCCTAACCCATAGGGCGCAGGGAGTTAGACATTAGTTAGCGAAATATACTCATTTGCAAGCAAATTTGGTCTTGCGAAAGACCTATCTCGAACCCAGCTGAATCCCCCGTTTTGATGTTTCCAAGCAACTGAATGTGCTGCGCCGTCTCATGTTTAAGTATTTGCGGTATTCAAGATATCGCAATACATGTATATTTGCAATGCACTACTCATGTGTTTGCTGAAAATTCTTCGACAGTCCACGACCGGTTTCGCTTTTCTTGGAACTCATCAGGTAGGCGCAGTCCCTGGGTTTCCGTCAACCTTATGTTCAACTTGAAACTAAATTGCACGAAATTAGCGAATATACACTCATCTGCAAATTAATTTGGTTTTGCGAGAGGCTCACCCAGAACCCAGCTGAATCTCTCGTTTATGATTTTTTTATAAACAGCGATTTCCTTCAAAAATTTCGAACATGTTTGGAGGCGTCCAGTATCAGAACAGGCCTGCATGTTCAATGAGAACTCTTTTCCTAGAGAACACCAGTTTCTCCCAAGCAAAACAAATGCAACTTCTCTTGGAATTTTGCAGATGTCAACCGTTTTGAGGAGGAGAATTCGAAACTCCCTCGACTCAAATTACCGACTGCTAGTTGGAAAGTGGTGATGACTGACATATTCCATAAATTGTGTTGATGAGTGAATGAATGTAATCTAAATGGTGAATAAATGAACTATACATGGCACTCCGTGATGCTTTCCATAAAGTGTACCAATTGTAAACTAACTACAATGTTTCCAAAATAACTCGAAATAGCTGAATCTCAGTCAGCCCAGGAAACCGTTGAGTACATGTTCGGTGAGCTTAACACGACCATTCTTCACTACACAAAACCTTCAGACCAAGTAGCTCTGACAATTGCAAAGGTGGTAGTTCGTTCACAATGTAATTTACATTCTTAAGGACAATACTCAACCCACATGTTAACAAAACTGTTCCCAACTTTTAAATGCGTGCGTAGGTGCGTATACAATCGAAATTGGTGGAGAAATCATCTGTGTCTATACTGTACTTCCAAGGTGTGAACGTGCAAAACGAGCGCCACCTGGATGCAAACCTACGTTCCTTTACTAAAAACGCTTTGCACGAAACCTAATGGTTTTACAGCGAAATGGTGGATACAAGGGGCAGAAAGAAAATAGATGGCCAAATGGCGTGTTGACATATTATTAAGCCAAGAAGAGCAAGTCTCTGTTCAACACCAATTTGTCATCTATTTTGCATGGATGGCCTTACTATTTACCGAAGTATCTGATAAAATTTGATATTGATATATATGAGTACGTTTCCGAGGGGAGATAACGACATTCACACTCCTCAGCTGGGACAAATTAGCTGTCACATGTTGATTAGCAATTTAATGATTTGGTGTTCAAGTGTGCCTAAGTCTAATCAAAGGAGTGGCCGAAGTGTTCATCTTCGAAAAAAAGCAGTTCGCGTTACGTGTTCAAACATTGTGAAAAAATACTTGACCGCCTCGGTTTTCAAATATTTTCTCCGGTTATTCAATACCTAGTAGTTGAAATTTATGGCAAAAGAAGGAATCCTATGTCTGCCAACTCTCGCATTCAAAAACTTGTGAATCAGAATGCGAACAAAAAAAAACAAATTTCAAGTAAAAAAATGAATGGCTACTCCAATCTTTAAAGTAGCTTGGCTTCTAGTCAGCCACATTTTTTGCGGAGGATTACTTTTGGCCAGCTAAAATGTACATGAGATCCCTTGACTTGGTGATTTGTGCCTTCAACCTTGAGTGCGTGGTCCTAAATGGACTCTGTACATTTGGAGTTCTCTAACTAGTGTGCCTACAATTGGTAACAGCACGCCTTGCCCTTGGTAAGATTTACTATGGTGCATCAGACGACACTAATTTCAAATCGCGGTAAATTGAACTAAACATAGTTTTAACCCGCCATCCAATCGACTGAAGTAGAATTCTCGGCCGACCTTCATTTAAAACACTTGCGTCAAGCTAAACCATAAAAATCACATGTCTGATTTTTTAATAGGAGCACTTAAATGGCGCATCGATTCCTTGGCGTTTCAAGGCCACTTTTAGTTCACGCCTGCACGATTAAAGCCATTGAATATAACGAGCCACAGAAACAAGTTACAAACACAAAGAACGCAATGGAAGTTTAGCCACGCCACGAACTTGCCCAAAGCCACTTCATATATATATCTGTCCAAGTGTGTACCACAAACAAAAGTCTACGCGGGAAGCCACATTAATTTTGGGAGATTGGGAAATCTAGGTGCTCTGGGGACAAAAGTTGAAAGGATGATCACCATTAGGTTTCAAAGTCCAGGGGTTTTATGTGCAAGCAGATTTATTCTATTATGTTTAATGAACTTTACACTATCCATAAGTTTGCTGAAAACATTTCGACTGCCCACAAAGCAACTTTGCCCGTCTCAGGATTTATCAGATAGGTTCATTTCACTAATTACCGTCGGCTGTATCAGAAAACTGAAGAGGAAATGATACTGGCTTAAAATTGATGCAAGCAGTCAAATGATATAGACATTCGTTCAGACCTTAAATGAACCCTCTAAACAAAACACCAATTTCTTGGTCAAATTATGAGTAAAGAAGAAATACGTAAGCAACTGAGAACACAATAATTCGTCCATTTACTTGCAAACAGACTATCAATGATATAGTGACGAATAATTAGTTTCCGTAATAAGGAGCTAAAAGCGATCAAACTAAATATCCATGTTGAAGCGCAGTTCTTGTTCCATTTAGTTGAATGAACAGTGATCATCAAATTTATCGAACCAGTTTTAAAAGTATTTACACGTTTGTTTTTGACTTGTTTCACTAGGAACAAGTAATTACCAAATTATTTATAATACAGACCACGCATGGACATGGAACAAAAGAGATCGTATTATCAGAGACCGGACTAGTGAACTGCCAAATCGAAAGCCTACTGATGTATGTCGAGCGTTATAAATTATCCAGCTTTGGCTAAACAGCATTCCAAGTGTTATCAACCGTAGTTTAAGTGAAGCGAATCTCATTCACCGTGTTGTGGACCACTTCCTTCAAGTTACTTTTGAAGCGCGCACTGGATGTGTGACCAGGTGAATGTTTTTGAAAAGTTGAAAAGGATAAGACCAATTTATCTCTTCAAGATGTTTAAAGTTACTTGAGTTCAAATTCTGTGATGGACTCTTTTAATCATCGGCCAGGATATTTGCGTTTTTTTGTTGTTGCAAGGTCAGGATCTTGGCCGTAGAAACCCATTAAGTTGGTTTTAAAATGTACATTCATCAGTGTGTTCACAATGTTTTAGGAATATTCAAGCTAAAGCCAATCCGATTTCCCATAAATAAACTTACGAATATTTTCTGGCAGTACGGAAACTCCTATATGGTAGGACTAACAGCAAAGCACACAATCTAGATAAATAGCTAACGGGTCTGGTTTGGGGGTGACAATCATGAAAAACCCAGGACCCAATCTTATTCCGGAACGCACTCTGATA